CGTATGGTTACGCATTTCATCTACGCGATTGTGACTTAGAATATTGGGGAGAGACATTATGCTCGCGGAGTGCGAGGGCTGATGCGCGAGGGATGTGATTGTGAGAAGAAGAGAGAGAATGTGAGTGTATTAGAGAGAGAGATGTTGATGGGAGGTAGAGTAGAGAGAGAGTCATTTGGCCCGCCGAGCCGTTTTTGATTTATGCTTCTCGGTACGGAGTCGGATCATGTTCACAAGCTCTCCTGGGGCATAAACGCGAAGCGACGACTGTTGTTTTGTGAGTCCTGTTGCTAGTTTGCCTATTAGGATGAGCTGAGTAATTTATGCGGACCTTGCTGTTTTGCCATGTGTGAGTTTCGTGGATATTTATCAAGTGTGTAGGTGGTGGCTGTGCCCGACGGATAAGATCAAACACGCTAACAACACAACAATATTCGCAGCCTTCCTGGACCCGAGCCCCCTCGCCCCTGCCCCCTCGCCGAGACCGTCGGCACGCTCCCTTCCATGTGCGCCACAGCGCTCAGCCCCGTGCGGGCCCCCCGCTGCTGTCACGGGCTGCTCGAGGTCAGCGGGGTGCCCCCACGCGCGGGGCCCTCCATGAAGTGGCCTTGCATGGGCCGGGGCCGGGACCCGGACGCGCACCACGCAGGAGAGGAGTCTGGGGGGTTGTGTGTTTATGTGTTTGTGTTTTGCTTGCTGCGAGCAAGCCCTCTCTGTATTGCGGGTCGTTGCGTGTGTTGAGTACGTCGCTGTGAGTGCGTGGCTCCTGCGGCTCTGCTGTACCATGCGCGAGCTCTGATGGGTGTTGAGCGTGAAGCACGTAACGTACTCAGGTATTGCTGGAACTGATATATTTACACACATCCAATCTAGCTATACAACACATTACCATACTACAATCCCAGTTATTAAAAAATATAAAAAATAAAAAAAAAAAAAAATAAAAAAAAATAAAAATCAACATAAAAAAATTACTAAAACCAATAACTCAACTAAAAAAAAAAAAATCGCTAATAACCAATAATTCATTTATATTACGGCGCAATAATGTCGAAAATTTCAGTTTTTACTCGCACATATTAGTGTTCCAACAAAAGAGTAGATACAATACATACAAGTTTTCTCTTTAACCGTGGTATAGTAGGATATATGAAGTG